CATTTGTTAGTTCCATTAACATGTTTTTCGTCTTTGGTGTTAATCATGCGTCTCACTTACAAGTGTTTTGCAAAAAAAACTGCCAAACGTATTGGAAAACCAAAAAGGGTTTTCGCTTCTATCCTGTATGCCACGTTGTCATTCCAGCGTCAAGCCGCACCTCCAACTCTTGATCACCCGAGTTCTGCCTTCCAGAATTTCAGTCAACAGTCAATCCGGCCACAGCCGGACTGGTCCCAAAACGCCTCGCTACGTGAAGCCGACGAGGACGCATGGATTTCTTCGTGGGACTAAAACGGTTTGTGCTGTGAACTGGGGTGTGGTGGAGAGGGACATATCCTAAGCGCAGAGTCGGATACGCAGCGCAGGAAATGTCTTGTCGGCTCTTTTCCTGGACTAGCCCGTTTTATGCAGTCCGCTACAACGGCCCACCGACGATGCAATCCAGTCCACACGAAAATAAATAATAAAAACAGACTGTACTCAACGAACTATGCAACACCGCATTTTGGAACCCCGTGTCCAATCTCATGTCACTCTCCGCACGCATCTTCACCTCTGCTCCCTCCTTGACAGCGGTATCGAATGCTTCCATTCTCAGCATTTTAGAAAGAGGCCATTGTAGTGAATCTGAAAGCATACACTCCTTCAGTATCTTAAAGCATAGGACATCATTGCTTTACCACTTGCTCAATGTACATCCGCTTTCACATTTGCTCTGGTGACTTCTGCGATGCACGTTCCTTGTCTTTGTTGATTCGCTCCCTTCCTTGTGGTCTGTTCAGTATAGGTGGGGTCCCACTGTTTCCATCGCAATGAGGCTGGACCTTACCGTGGTGCGATGGTTTGTGTGCCTCAGTGATCCATTGAGCTATACTAGGTGGTGCATTTTTGAACCTTCAGATTCCCTCATATCAGATTGGTCAATGGTTAGAGGCCAGACAAACTCAGCCTCCTGGTCCTCCAGGTTGGGGTTGGACTGAGGGTGGCTCCTTATTCCTTAAAACGGACTCCTTGTAGCCCAGTGTCAAACCCGCTGCCTTACGGACAGGTTTTTGAACCAAAGGCTTTGGTTGAGAACCCTAATCGTTCTCCTGTTTAGGCTTGGGCAACCTGACAGTATCCTGCTCACGCAATACAATGAATCTTAATTCAAACAAATTTCTGATGCCCTGGCAACCGCAGATAATCAACGGTACCCTATCTGCTGCATCGAGCAGGGTGGATAGGGGTTTGAATGCTACTGATCAAGCCTTCCCGTCTTCTTATTCCCTCGCTTGCGCTTTTTCACCTTTAGCGTCCCGTTCCAGCTTCACTTTTAGCCCCCCTGTTTTCAACCCCCAATTCTCGGCCCTCTCCCACCTTGCTTCAATAGTCCCTTGTCTTTTAGTTTCAAGTCATGTGAACGCGGAGCGTCATTCCTGCTCTGTCAACAGGCCCATGTCCAAGCAAGCGGCTCATCCCAGTTCATCGGCTTCCATTTGGAGCCCTCGATCCTCCTTCAGATTGGCATGCCTCAATGTTCGCATATTGCTTCAGATCGGTCAACAGGCAGCACTTGCCCGAACATTAGACCCTCTCGATCGATATCTGCTGCTTCTCAGAGACCCGCCTGCAAGACTCCAGCTCTGTACTCACTCTGAGATCCCCTTCAGGTGACACTAGCAGCACTTTCTCATTGCGCCTATCCGGTGCCGGTGCAGCTTCGAGCACCGGCCAAGCCGGTGTTGATATTGCCCTGAGTCCCTGGGCTGAAGCTACTCTGGTTGATTATATTCCAATCAGTAGCCGGATGTGTGCGGTCCGATTGGCTGGCTCGTTCAAAACTTCGAAGTCGCGTGGGACTAACAGGTGTCTATTCGTTATCGCCGCCTATGCACCCACAAACGCTAGCGATGACCCGGTAAAAGACGACTTCTATCGTCAACTGAACGAGTTCCTTCGCCACAGAAGAAGCTCGGACCCTGTTGCGCTGGCTGGGGATCTGAACGCTCAAGTTGGAAAATTATCCACAGATGAGCTGCATCTGGGCGGCCAACATGGTATAGGCTCCCGTAATGATAACGGTGAGCGGTTACTTCATTTGTGTGAGGGTGCTCGCTTATTTCTTGCGAGCACTAATTTCCGACACAGCACCGCCGGAGGGTGACTTGGCGCCTACCAGCCTCGAACCAGCCTTGGATGCAAATCGATCACATTGCGATAAGTTACCGATGGAGAGGCTGCGTCCAGGACTGTCGCTCGATTTGGAGCACAGGTGCGGACACCGACCATGCACTTGTATGTGCAGACCTGCGGATGCGTTTTGGCGGACGCCCACGACGACATTGTGAGTGCATTGACACCAGCCTAGTGGCGAAGCCAGCTGTTCTGAATGCCTATCAAAGTACGCAGTCATGCGAGTTGGATAAGCGCTCAATGATCTCATGTTCACCAGTCCTTACTAGCAGCAGGCAAATCCTCATGTCTAATCACCAACGTGGACATTGGGTCTCTTCAAAGTCTCTGGAACTTATAGATGCTCGCCGGCATATTCCGGCTGGAAGCGAACACAAAGAAACTCTCAAGGAGCTCCAGGCGAAACCCCGTGCTGGCCTGAAGAGAGACCGCGAATCCTGGTGGTCTCATCGTGCATCAGAGATGGAAATGGCCGCTACCCTTGGCAACCATCATACAGTTATTCCGTCTGTTACGGGCAGCAGAAGACCTGGTGTTAGTGAAACTATACGTGGCGAGAGTGGACAACCTATCCATAATTTATCAAAACGCTTAGAGCGTTGGGCTGAGCATTTTAAAGGGCAATTTAATCGGTCGGAATGGTTAGATTTCTCGCCGGCCACTGATCGCCCCGCTCTCTGGGCTGCCCTTTTGCATCCACCCTCTCGCTCAGAAGTCGAACGTGCGATCGGACTGTTGAGGTCAAATAAAGCCGCGGGACCTGATGATCTTCCTCCAGCCCTCTTCAAATTCGGGGGACCGGCTCTTGTGGATGATTTACAAGAGTTATTAGTCAAACCGTGGGAGCAGGAAACTGTCCCAACTGATTGGAGCCGCTCCGTCATAGTCCCAATTTTCAAGGGAGACTCATAATCGGAATGCGGCAGCCATAGAGGAATCAGTCTGATCTCCATCGCCTCCAAATTGCTTGCCTCTGTCATCCTTCACAGATTGACTGGCACTCGTGAAAGCCAGATTCGTGAAGAGCAAGCTGGATTTCGTCGAGGTCGTGGCTGCATTGACCACATCTTCACCTTGCGTCAGTTGTTGGAGCACCGTCACATATATTGGCGGCCCACCGTTGTCGTGTTCCACGATATTAAAAGTGCATTCGATTCGGTGGATAGACATGCACTTTGGAACTGTCTACTCAGAAAAGGTGTACCTGAGAAATACGTGAACATTATCCGAGCATTATATGCGCGTAGCTCGGGCGGAGTGAGGGTTTCCGGCAAGTTGTCGTCGCCCTTCAATATCTCCAGCGGTGTGAGACAAGGATGCCCGCTGTCACCTTACAACTTCGCTGTTGACGAAGTCATGGAAATCGCGTTCACAGGACGCAAGTTTGAAGACGTGGATCTGCTCCCAGGAGAGCGACTTCTTGACTTAGAGTATGCTGATGATACTGTCCTTATCTGTGACAGCTCACAAACGTGTCAAGCAGCACTGGACAGATTAGCACTAGCTGTCCGTTACTTCGGCCTTTGCTTTGCACCACCGAAGTGCAAAGCGTTCCTCCAAGATTGGTCTGGATCGCCTCCTTCGTTGACCCTTGGTGGGGATCAGCTAGAAGTCGTTCAAAAATTCAACTACCTGGGGAGTTGTATCAGCGCCCGTGGGATTGAGGATGAGATCACGAACCGTATAGCAAAAGCTCGAGGCGCTTTTGCTAACCCCCGCATTTATGGTGCCGGCGCGACATCATTCTTGCCATGAAGGGTAGAGTGTACAATGCAGCGGCACGTTCGACCCTACTGTACGGTTGTGAAACTTGGTCGCTTAAAGCAGCGAACCTGAAGAGGCTAGTTACGTTCGACCACCGGTGCCTTCGTAATTTAGCTCACATCTGGTGGGAACACCCGCGTGAGCAGCGAGCGTGTTCGATGCCTTGTTTACGGCACAGGAAAGGGAAATGAACCGCTCAGCACCGTCATTTCACGCACCAGGCTCCGATGGCTGGGCCACGTGTTACGCATGCCAGCCCACCGACTTCCGCGACGTGCGTTGTTTGCGCGCCGGGGGTGTGGATGGAAGAAGAGGAGGGGTGACCAAGCGATGACTTGGTCGAGAGGAATGAAGGCCCTCCCTTCAAAGCTGGCCTCAGTTGGAGCGTCTCGGCTCCCTAGTTGGGGTCCGAAACACGATGAACACGTTTGGTTGGACAAACTTGCTGATATGGCTAGGAGCCGACCTCAGTGGCGTTCGTGCTGTGTTTCTTTGTCCCACCCTATCCCTCTTAGCATCCCCCTCCAACCACGATCTCATTATTTAGCCTTAAATAATTTTGCATAGTAATTTTTTCGATGCACAGTAGCCGGCTTGTAGCTTACCGGAACGATGCCCATCCGTTACCGGTAGCTAAGCCGGCTTGCAACAGTAGCTTTTTTCTTCTGTGTATTGCAGCACAGTAGCTGAGGTGTTCCCCACCTCCAGCTAACGTGTATGATGATGATGATCCTATTTGCTAGGCCGTATTGGGGAAGTCCCTAACGTGTCGCTCTGAACAGTAACCGGGGCGCACCTAACATTACGTTGAATCCAGAAACATGTGCGGCAATGAACCGGGCAGTTTGACAAGTGGAAAAGGCAGCTGGAAGCTTTTATCGTGTGGGCGGCGATGGTGGGTCAGTGGCGCATCTGATTACTCATGCAGCAGCCCGCCGCACGCTGAAAGTTCAGGAGGCACTGCTTCCGCAAACAGTTGATAGATTAAGTCGAATATGATGGTCAATAATACTCGAAAATGTAATAGCTGCAAAGGGAAAACATAAGAACATACTAACCTGCAGCAGCGACTCCAGAGAACGAAGAGACACCGTACCAGAAGAATCAGTTTCAGCGCGCAGAACCTTTGCTGCCAGGTGTCGCCACGGAAGTATATTAGAGTGGTGCTCAAACGGACCGACAATGACAATCTGAGAACGTTATAATGCCAAAGGACGTACTGGAGGCTGCTCTAAATTCAAATTATGAATGAGTTTATGAACTGCTCCGGTGCATCCACTACCAACAAAGATTACTGCGTCATCAGCGGATGCATGGACAGCGCTTCGGATGATATTCTTCGCCTCGTGTCGAAACATAGTCGTTTGTAAGGATGTCACGTTCGACGTGGTGTGTGTGTTCCCATATGTCGGCAGAACTTCGGTGTTGATGAATTCCTCGATAAATGAAAGCGATTTCCCGGAGGCTGTCCAGTCGCAGTAAACAGCTAAATTAACAAGGAAGGTAGGTAAATAGACTATAGGACGTACTCCTTCTCTCCCCAAACGGGCCGTGGAATATCTTCTCTCTTCCGATGATATTGTCGTAGATATAACGCATCAAATTCGGCGGATCACACGAGTAGTTCATCAGGCCAAACAGATGCCAAGGAGATAAACGCAATAAGCACAATTTAGTCGATGTACGAGATTAGCGCCTTCATTCGACATCAGGCGCAGTTTTCAACATACGAGCCGAAGCATACGACGTTTAAGACCAAAGATGTCCACGGGCAGCAGAAAAGGAGAACGACTCACGAGACGACGACATGAAAATTGGTCAAGTCGTTGGGTACATCTACCCCTGGGAGGAATAGTTAGGTCAGAATAAGCTCACTTCTCGTAACGATGAAAAGTCGGAAAAAGACGAATATATGGGTGAGATGGACTTTTATACTCGGAACGTGCAAACCCGCTAGCTAAAGTCACCGAAAATGTTTCTAGCTGGGGGAAATATGTAATCGCCTTTTGAGACACTGTGAATGCCCCCCAAAGCCCGAAAGCCGTAAGCGCGCGAAAAGCGATTCGTCTGGTTGGCTTAATCAATGTAGTCCTCGTTCAAACCGGCAAACTTTCTAAGTTGTTTAGATTAAATGCTATTGGATTCTAATAGCATTTAACACAGACAAACAGGTAATCTACAGGTCAAGTTCAAGTTCAAGTTCAGTTGGGACCGGAACGATAGGATAATCCCGTGAATGTTCCTTCTTTTGCGTATCGTTGGATGGGGAATTGACAGGGCTGCTTGAGATGTTGAAAAGCCTAAATCAAAGACCTCCTCACACCCTGTTCAACCAATTACTGCCCACATTTTCCTGCCCAGCAGTCCCTGCCAAGCAGGTTTATGTGAAGTAAAAGAGTGAAGGGTAAGCTGAGAAAACAAGAGGAGGAATGTCAGCTAAATAATGATACTACCATGGTGAGGAGAAAATTAAATAATAACGAATGGAAAGTTGAAGATACAAGTCGGTTAGGCGAAGGGGAAGGTTTGGTACTGCCACCCAAGAACATCTAACTGACGCTCGAAACCCTCTATTGTAGACTCCCTAACCACGTGCGCCGGAAGCGAGTTCCAACATTCAATAACTGGACGCGATAAGCGAGTTTCCGTCCTTACCCGGTCAGAACGCTGTTGGTGCAGCTTCAACGGGTGACCTCGGAGACTAGGCAGCTTGGCGGGACTAAATAGCCAGGACAAGTCTGGACCGATCTTACCCGTTAAGATACGGTAAGTGAGAATCAAGTCTCCTCTAATTCTGCGGTAGTGCATTGAGTACATACACAAGCTAAGCAAACGTTCAGGATACGTTTGCCCCCGTAATCCTTGCACTAACCTTGTACCCACTCGCAAAACCCTCTCCAGTTCCATTTTGTCCCTTACAAGACAGGGTGGACAAGCCTGGATACAGTACTCTAAGTGAGGTCGCATAAAAGCTGAGATCAGCTTCACAAAATATTGGCCGTTAGGACACCGAAGGAGCGGCGAATAAACCACATCATACGGAACCCTCTACAAGCAGCCTTCCTCCAATTTTCCCCAGAGTGAAGCAATGAGGTATGGGTGATACCTAGATTAACCTGCTGAATGACAACAGGGCGTTTACTTCCACCAACTACATAGCGCGTGGTGGGACTAGCACCTCCAATGCGGAGCACAGAACATTTCACCTGATTTATGGGCATCAACCATAAGGTTGACCAATCCCAGAGCCTATCCAAGGCACTCTGAAGTGTCTCAGAGCCACCAGGGATATCCACAATATTCCAGAGCTTGTGGTCATCAGCAAACAATAGCGACGGTACTCCAAGCTCCTGGGGTAGGTCATTGACATAAATTGCGAAAAGCAACGGCCCTAGAACCGATCCCTGCGGAACGCCACTAAGAACAGCTTGTCTAAGCGAAAGGCAACGCCCCACGCGTACACACTATTCTGTCCCCTCTAGAACAGCAGAAACCCATTCAAGGGCGGCTCCAGATATCCCATACGATCTCAACTTCAATGACAGTCGTTGATGTGGGACAGTATCAAAGGCTTTCGATAAGTCCACGAAAAGCAAGTCGATAGCGTGACCGTTGTCTACTGCCTCAGCCCAGCTTTCACGAGCTACAAGCAAATTTGTCAGACATGAAAATCCCTTACGGAATCCGTGCTGAGCCACACTGGGAAGGTTAAACTTAATCAGGTGATTCTCCACCGAATCCCTGTCAAATTTTTCAAACAACTTAACTACTACACTTGTCAAGCTGACAGGCCTGTAGTTTGCGGGCAGAACTCTGTCCCCGCCCTTAAAATTCGGACAGATGATTGCCTTCTTCCATTCCGCAGGTAAGGCACAGCTGTCGAGTGACGTAAATATGCATGTCAGAGGGCCACTTAGCTCAGCGGCCCATTCAGGCATCAGCTTCGGATGAACTGAATCAGGGCCAGAAGCTTTGGAAGGATTTAGCCCTTGCAATAGCCCGAAGACTTGTGTTTCCGTTATGCTTACTTCAGTTAGGCAAGAATCCTCCTGAACTTTAGTGACCAGCTCAACTTGAGGTAGAGAGGCCTCATGAGAAAAGACACCAGTATACTGTTCGCTAAGTATACAGGCATTATCATAGTCGGTATGCCCATGGGTCCCGTCCGCTCATAGTAAAGCCGGTATAGACGAGTTTGTACCGCTACGTCTCTTTACGTAAGCAAAGAACTTCTTTGGGTTTGTTACCGATGCGTTAGCCAAATCCTCCTCGTACTGAAGACGAAGAGTTCTAAGATGATGCTTACATTTATTTCTAGACGCTCGATAGCTTTCGTAGGTGCTGGTTGATGAAGCCGCTTGAAAAGTTCGCCAGCACTTAGAGCGCTTCCTGAGCAGGTATTTACCTGTATGATCTATCCATGGAGGCTGCGCCCGTGTTACCTTTCTCTTAGTGAGTGGTATGTGTGGAGCAAAGATGTCGGTGAGGTATGCCTTAAGTTTCTCCCAGGCTGTCGCAACGGTGTCAGCCACGGTGATCGCACAACGCAAAACTGAAGCTTTGTCTCGCATTGCGTTAAAGTCTGCCCGCCAAATATTTGGACATACCTCAGCGGTAGCTTGATGACACTTAATTTGAGCACATCGAAAGGATATTCATACATGGTCACTGGCTCCTTGAGGACAATCGTATGTAATATCACTTACGAAATTGTGTGACTTCGCAAACATGAGATCCAAGGTAGACGGAATTTGGTTGCGCATATATCTAGTCGGGAGGTCCACGAACTGATGCAAGGGCAGTTGCAATGTTAGCTCAAGGAGATCCGAACCGAAAGTGCCCACCGCCGAACTGCAAGATAGATCAGCCCATCAGACTTCAGGGAGGTTGAAGTCACCCAGTATTAGATACCTATTGGCAGCCTGACTACGAATAAATTCCATAACCTTCTTGGAGCTACTTCCAGGACTTCGATATACCACTACAGCTGTAAACTGAGCAGAGGTAGTGCACACAATAGCTGAGAAAGCTTCAACAGTTTGATCCGGTGACTGGAACACACAGGTCCTCAACACATCGAGTTTACGACTCACATAAAGAGCGACGCCCCCACCTTGGTGGCCAACGGAACGATCTCATCTAAGCAGTGCGTAGCCAGGAGAAGATACTTCACCGTCTGTGATATCCGTGGACAGCCACGTTTCGGTGATAGCAAGTATGTCGAAACGAGATTTGTCTACAAGTAGACCTACCTCGTGTACCTTGTTCCTTAGGCTACGCACATTACTAAGCACTACCCGAAAGAACTCGGCACTACCAGCCTTGGGTCGTACGCTACCAAGATAGGTTCTTGTAGGGCAGAATTTGACTTCCGGCTGACCACCTGAAAACCCACAAGCCGAAAGTCTTGCTCAACAGCCGCCCGCCTGATTTTAAGGTTTTGATGGCTTCCTTTAGCTTCAGTCGACCTGCCAGTGGGAGGTCCGGCTGAACGTTGACATTACTACCCTTGAGTTTGAATGCAAAGCGCCTTAACGCTTTGCGTTCTTCCGGGGTTGAGAGGACTACACGAACTAATCGGGGTCGCGCATTTGGCGTGTCTACTGGGACGTTCCTCAATCTGGTTAATTTCCTGATAGTGACACCGGGGAAACAAGGTGGAAGCATCTTGTTGACGCAGAGCTTGAACCACTGGAGGTCATCCAGCATGCGCTCCTTTGGAAGAGCTGCCTCGGATTCAGCAACGTTACGAAACATAACGCTACTATCAGTAAAAGAATCACCTCGACGAGGCGTATTCACTCCACGCGTCTTCGACGCGAGCTCAGTTTCGACCGGTTTGGCAGATGATACGACACAGCCCATCCTGTTAGGGAACCGTTGGTGACCCTGCCAACTACATGTGGACTGTCGTCGCGGGCCAGTCTTCTGCAAGACCATGCCGTGCAACCTGCTGCAGCTGCTGAGGGAGAACCAGACAAATGGACCGTAGCAAGCTCCCACCCGTGTCCTCCCTTAAGGTGCCAATAAAAGACAATAAGACGAATTTCGTAGAGTACTCTCACCTGTTTTTGATCAAGAGTGAGTGTTCTGCCATGCGTAACATGCTAAGAAATAAAGAAATGGTCGTGCTCAGACATGCAGAAACAGTAACACCTACGGACGGGAAAGACACTAACCAAATATGCAGCGAAAATTCAAAGAAGCCACACTTTATATCAGATACCGAAAAGATCTTTGGATGCTTTTCTAGTTTTCAAAACCTTTCTTTCTTTGAAGTATTCGGCGACTAGTACCGGGCATAAAACCCTGCTAAAGCAGTTAGAAGCAAACATGCCATGCTATCGTTTTAGGAAACGTGTCGGCCAGTGAACCCAAGGGCCAGACCTAGTAACCTTTTTAGCCTTGGCTCAGCCGGTGGGCACGGAAGGCGAGTTGCATGTTTGGAGCTTCCTGTCTGCAGGTGTGTCTCCACCTTCGGTTACGTCTATTAGTCGGAGGACGGAGGACTGGAGTTGCCGGTGGCCTCAGGTTCCACGTAAGCAATGTTGAGGCGTCGATCGGGACAGTTTCGCGTTTGTCCTTGCCTTCGATGAAGGAGAAGCGATCCTCAGGTTGCAGGAGCTTGAACGTGTCTTCATAAGGTCGCTGGTGGCCTGCGTAGACGATCGGGGCGAATGAACGCGAAGGGCAGTAGTGAAGTACTTCGGAACCGTAAGATTTGCGGTGCTGTATCAGTACTTAATACGATTTATTGTAGTGCATGCTCGCGGCTAACTTCCGAGCGTAGTATGCGTCGTAGCGAGGCATGTTGGGGCTTACAGCGCAGAAGCCGCATGGTTTTTGGAGCGGTTGTCCATAAACCAGTTTGGCGCCTGTCCTTACGAGATCAACTTTCATTGCTGCTCAAATTCCGAGCACCACCATTTGCGGAACTGCTTATGTAAGTGCAGTTGCGACACCTAGCAAGGTTTTAAGCTGTCGGCGGAAGTGTTCTACCATTCCTTTTGCCACAGTATTTTAAGTACTTGAGCGGATGCGCGTATGGCGTCGACGAGGAATTCGAAGTGGAGAAGTGAATCCGGCTCGACGATGGGATTTTGGAGGTCTGCCGCAAGGAACAT